TCGGGGAATCTATCGACGGAACATAGGGCAGTCGGTTAAACTATTGCCGTACAGCAGACAGTCGGTTAAACTATTGCCGTACAACAGACAGTCGGTTAAACTATTGCCGTACAACAGACAGTCGGAAAACTTTTGCTGTACAACAGACAGTCGGTTAAACTATTGCTGTACAACAGACAGTCGGTTAAACTATTGCCGTACAACAGACAGTCGGAAAACTATTGCCGTACAACAGACAGTCGGTTAAACTATTGCTGTACAACAGACAGTCGATAGATCTATTGCCGAGAGTTCCGGAGGTCGGGGAATCTATTGCCGTACATGAGAAATTCGCTCAAACTATTGCCGTACGTCAGACAGTCGGGAAATCTATTGCCGTACATCAGACAGTCGGGAAATCTATTGCCGTACATCAGACAGTCGGGGAATCTATTGCCGTACATCAGACAGTCGTGAAATCTATTGCCGTACATCAGACTGTCGGGGAATCTATTGCCGTACATCAGACAGTCGGGGAATCTATTGCCGTACATCAGACAGTCGGGAAATCTTTTGTCGTACATCAGACAGTCGGGAAATCTATTGCCGTACATCAGACAGTCGGGGAATCTATTGCCGTACATCAGACAGTCGGGGAATCTATTGTCGTACATCAGACAGTCGGGAAATCTATTGCCGTACATCAGACAGTCGGGGAATCTATTGCCGTACATCAGACAGTCGGGGAATCTATTGCCGTACATCAGACAGTCAGGGAATCTATTGCCGTACATCAGACAGTCGGGGAATCTATTGCCGTACATCAGACAGTCGGGGAATCTATTGCCGTACATCAGACAGTCGGGAAATCTATTGCCGTACATCAGACAGACAGATAATCTATTGCCGTACATCAGACAGACAGATAATCTATTGCCGTACATCAGACAGTCAGATAATCTATTGCCGTACATCAGACAGTCAGATAATCTATTGCCGTACATCAGACAGACAGATAATCTATTGCCGTACATCCGACAGTCGGGGAATCGGATACATGTGATGAGAAAAGGTAGGTATGGGTTGAGATTGGGAGTGGGGGGAAGGGGGGAGGGTGTGGGTATATATGGTGTAATATAGGAGAGAGGTATGAGATAGGGAGAGATAGTCATGGTGTGAGACGGGGAGAGGTCGGTATAGTGTGAGATGTGGAGATATGGGCATTGTGTGAGATGGGGGAGAGGTAGGCTTAATGTGAGATGGGGAGAGGTAGGCATGGTGTGAGATAAGGAGAGGTAGGTATGGTGTGAAACGGGGAGAAGTCGGTATGGTGTGAGATGGAAGAGGTCGGCATGGTGTGCGATGGAGAGAGGTAGGCATGGTGTGAGATGGAGAGAGGTAGGTATGGTGTGAGATGGGGAGAGGTAGGCATGGTGTGAGATGGGGAGAGGTAGGTATGGTGTGAGATGGGGAGAGGTAGGTTTGGTGTAAGATGGAGAGAGGTAGGCATGGTGTAAGATGGAGAGGGGTAGGTATGGTGTGAGATAGGGAGAGGTAGGTATGGTGTGAGATGGAGAGAGGTAGGCATGGTGTGAGATGGGGAGAGATCGGTATGGTGTGAGATGGGGAGAGGTAGGCATGGTGTTAGATGGGGAGAGGTAGGCATGGTGTAAGATGGGAGAGGCCGCTACGGTGTGAGATGGGGAGAGGTCGGTATGGTGTGAGATGGGGAGAGGTAGGCATGGTGTAAGATGGAGAGAGTTAGGCATGGTGTAAGATGGAGAGGGGTAGGTATGGTGTGAGATAGGGAGAGGTAGGTATGGTGTGAGATAGGGAGAGGTCGGTATGGTGTGAGATGGGGAGAGGTCGGTATGGTGTGAGATAGGGAGAGGTCGGTATGGTGTGAGATGGGGAGGGGTAGGTATGGTGTGAGATTGGGAGGGGTGGGTATGGTGTGAGATGGTGAGAGGTAGGCATGGTGTGAGATGGGGAGAGGTAGGTATGGTGTGAGATAGGCAAAGGTAGGTATGGTGTGAGATAGGGAGAGGTAGGTATGGTGTGAGATGGGGAGAGGTAGGGATGGTGTGAGATGGGGAGAGGTAGGTATGGTGTGAGATAGGAAGAGGTAGGCTTGGTGTGATATAGGGAGAGGTAGGTATGGTGTGAGATGGGGAGAGGTAGGTATGGTGTAAGATAGGTAGAGGTAGGTATGGTGTGAGAAAGGTAGAGGTAGGTAGGTGTGAGATGGGGGAGAGGTAGGTATGGTGTGAGATAGGGAGAGGTAGGCTTGGTGTGAGATAGGGAGGGGTAGTTATGGTGTGAGATGGGGAGAGGTAGGTATGGTGTGAGATAGGGAGAGGTAGGCTTGGTGTGAGATAGGGAGAGGTCGGTATGGTGTGAGATAGGGAGAGGTAGGTATAGTGTGAGATAGGGAGAGGTAGGTATGGTGTGAGATAGGGAGAGGTAGGTATGGTGTGAGATGGGGAGAAGTAGATATGGTGTGAGATGGGGTGAGGTAGTATGGTGTGAGATAGGGAGAGGTAGGCTTTATTAGGAGATGGAGAGAGGTAGGTATGGTTTGAGATAGGGAGAGGTAGGCTTGGTGTGATATGGGGAGAGGTAGGCTTGGTGTAAGATGGGGAGAGGTAGGCATGGTGTGAGATGGGGAGAGGCAGGCATGGTATGAGATGGTGAGATGCAGGCATAGTGTGAGATGGTGAGAGGCAGGCATAGTGTGAGATAGGGAGAGGTAGGCTTATTGTGAGATAGGGAGAGGTAGGCATGGTGTGAGATGGGGAGAGGTCGGTATGGTGTGAGATGGGGAGAGGTAGGCATGGTGTAAGATGGAGAGAGTTAGGCATGGTGTAAGATGGAGAGGGGTAGGTATGGTGTGAGATAGGGAGAGGTAGGTATGGTGTGAGATAGGGAGAGGTCGGTATGGTGTGAGATGGGGAGAGGTAGGTTTGGTGTGAGATAGGGAGAGGTAGGTATGGTGTGAGATGGGGAGAGGTAGGGATGGTGTGAGAAAGGTAGAGGTAGGTATGGTGTGAGATGGGGAGAGGTAGGTATGGTGTAAGATAGGTAGAGGTAGGTATGGTGTGAGAAAGGTAGAGGTAGGTAGGTGTGAGATGGGGGAGAGGTAGGTATGGTGTGAGATAGGGAGAGGTAGTTATGGTGTGAGATGGGGAGAGGTAGGTATGGTGTGAGATAGGGAGAGGTAGGTATGGTGTGAGATAGGGAGAGGTAGGCTTGGTGTGAGATAGGTAGAGGTCGGTATGGTGTGAGATAGGGAGAGGTAGGTATAGTGTGAGATAGGGAGAGGTAGGTATGGTGTGAGATAGGGAGAGGTAGGTATTGTGTGAGATGGGGAGAAGTAGATATGGTGTGAGATGGGGTGAGGTAGTATGGTGTGAGATAGGGAGAGGTAGGCTTTATTGGGAGATGGGGAGAGGTAGGTATGGTGTGAGATAGGGAGAGGTAGGCTTGGTGTGATATGTGGAGAGGTAGGCTTGGTGTAAGATGGGGAGAGGTAGGCATGGTGTGAGATGGGGAGAGGCAGGCATGGTATGAGATGGTGAGAGGCAGGCATAGTGTGAGATGGTGAGAGGCAGGCATGGTATGAGATGTTGAGAGGTATTCTTGGTGTTAGATGGGGAGAGGTAGGCATCATGTGAGATAAGAGAGAGGTAGGCTTGGTGTGAGATTGGGGAGATGTCGGTGTTGCTTGAGACAGGGGTGGGGGAGATGATGCAGAACCTGAGGTGTGGGAGAGTGGCGCAAGTAAACTGTGGTGAACCTGTCTGGTATTACCCCCTGCCACGCACGCCCATCCCCTGCCCCCACCCCCTACAGTTGATGCACACGCAACAGCTTCTTTGAAAGACTTCTTACCCTAGCCCGTTTGCTGCTGCTGATGATATTAATGAGCTTTCTTATTTGGCGCAACCAGCTCGTGCCTACAGCTTGGGCAGGCGGATTAGCGGTATTAACATTCCACGGGATCTAGAATGTTCTAATTGTCCTGTCTTGAATGGGTTTCATTTTAGGGGGAAAGCTCTAGTGTTGAGCCAAATCATCTCCTCAATTGCGCTTTGATAGCAGGACAGGATTTTGCTAAAATTTCACGTCATTCGCGATAGGATTTGGTTTGTACGGGCGACAATTGTGTACTTACATCTCAGTGACAAATCCGCGAGCAACCACATCAAAGGCGCGCAGCGGCAACCGACAAAAGACGGTGTTTTGACAGCACTAATGCTCAGTTTAAATTAAAATATATTTTTACTGCCGAAATTTGATTTTAAAAAAAAAAGAATTAATACAAGCAGCACTTTTGACGAAGAGAGTATCTGAGATAATTACCTCTACAATTATTCATTGAAGCCGCTCTCAGTTCTTCAATGAAGGTGAACAACTTTCCGAGCGGACGCCATCCGTGGCGCTGTCTCGCCTCCAGCATATAAACAGACAGAACAACTGGTCTGTCTTCCCTTCCCGGTTGGTCTATTGTGTCTTTACCGTCTGCCTTAGGCACAGTTCGCCGCAGAATACAGCCTTCCTATCGACACGGCTCATCACAGACATTTGGTTGGAAATTAAGTCATTTTAGTTCCTTTTTGAGTTCATTTACTTGTCCTTCCTGGCAAAGTTAGCAGCAATTTCCCGCCACAAAAGCATCTTGACGTACGATAAGTACGTGGCTGAGGTGTGTGGTCCTCGGTGGACCCCTGGTGTCAGTCAACAGTTAGTGCGCTGACTTGTTGGCCGGTGTGATTACCTGCCAGTCTGCAGGACTACACCAGACAGAACAGTGCCCAAGTCTGCAGGACTACACCAGACACAACAGTGCTCAAGTCTGCAGGACTACACCAGAAACAACAGTGCTCAAGTCTGCAGGACTGCACCAGACACAACAGTGCTCATGTCTGCAGGAGTACACCAGACACAACAGTGCTCAAGTCTGCAGGACTGCACCAGACACAACAGTGCTCATGTCTGCAGGAGTACACCAGACACAACAGTGCCCAAGTCTGCAGGACTACACCAGAAACAACAGTGCTCAAGTCTGCAGGACTGCACCAGACACAACAGTGCTCAAGTCTGTAGGAGTACACCAGACACAACAGTGCTTAAGTCTGCAGGACTGCACCAGACACAACAGTGCCCAAGTTTGCAGGATTACACCCGACACAACAGTGCCCAAGTCTGCAGGAGTACACCAGACACAACAGTGCTCAAGGCTGCAGGAGTACACCAGACACAACAGTGCCCAAGTCTGCAGAAACCCCCGCACATTATTACAGTGCTGACTGTATAATAAAAAGATAGAAACCAAGGCGTATCTCGTCAGACAGACTGTAGCAGATAGCCACATGTAAGGAGACAGATTGTATCAGATAGCTTCATGTAATAAGACAGATTGTAGCAAATAGCCACACGTAAGGAGACGGATTGTAACAGATAGCCACATGTAAGGAGACAGAATGTAGCAGATAGCCACAAGCAAGGAGACGGATTGTAGCAGATAGCCACATGTAAGGAGACCGATTGTAGCAGATAGCTAAAGATAAGGAGACACATTGTAGCAGATAGTTCGTTACACCCTCATGAGGGGTCCAGCCTCCGCCCTGTTGGCTCGCTACTAGATAATCTAGTTGTGCATCAGCACTGTTGGCTCGCTACCAGATAATCTAGTTGTGCATCAGCACTGTTCACTCGCTACCAAATAATCTAGTTGTGCATCAGCACTGTTCACTCGCTACCAGATAATCTTGTTGTGCATCAGCACTCTTCATTCGCTATTAGATAATCTAGTTGTGAATCAGCATTGTTCACTCGTTCCATTACAACACCTAGCGTGTGCATCATTTACCGCCAAGTCTAGCTGAGTCACAAGTCTAGCTGAGTCACAAGTCTAGCTGAGTCACAAGTTTAGCTGAGTCACAAGTCTAGCTGAGCCACAAGTTTAGCTCAGTTACAAGTTTAGTTGAGTCACAAGTCTAGCTGAGTCACAAGTCTAGCTGAGTCACAAGTTTAGCTGAGTCACAAGTCTAGCTGAGTCACAAGTCTAGCTGAGTCACAAGTCTAGCTGAGTCACAAGTCTAGCTGAGTCACAAGCCTAGCTGAGTCACAAGTTTAGCTGAGTCACAAGTCTAGCTGAGCCACAAGTTTAGCTGAGTTACAAGTTTAGCTGAGTCACAAGTCTAGCTGAGTCACAAGTTTAGCTGAGCCACAAGTTTAGCTGAGCCACAAGTTTAGCTGAGTTACAAGTTTAGCTGAGTCACAAGTCTAGCTGAGTCACAAGTTTAGCTGAGTCACAAGTCTAGCTGAGTCACAAGTCTAGCTGAGTCACAAGTTTAGCTGAGTCACAAGTCTAGCTGAGCCACAAGTCTAGCTGAGTCACAAGTTTAGCTGACTCACAAGTCTAGCTGAGTCACAAGTTTAGCTGAGTCACAAGTCTAGCTGAGTCACAAGTCTAGCTGAGTCACAAGTTTAGCTGAGTCACAAGTCTAGCTGAGTCACAAGTCTAGCTGAGTCACAAGTTTAGCTGACTCACAAGTCTAGCTGAGTCACAAGTTTAGCTGACTCACAAGTTTAGCCGAGTCACAAGTCTAGCTGAGTCACAAGTTTAGCTGAGTCACAAGTCTAGCTGAGTCACAAGTTTAGCTGACTCACAAGTCTAGCTGAGTCACAAGTTTAGCTGACTCACACGTCTAGCTGAGTCACAAGTTTAGCTGACTCACAAGTTTAGCCGAGTCACAAGTCTAGCTGAATCACAAGTTTAGCTGAGTTACAAGTCTAGCTGAGTCACAAGTTTAGCTGAGTCACAAGTCTAGCTGACTCACAAGTTTAGCTGAGTCACAAGTTTAGCTGAGTCACAAATTTAGCTGAGTCACAAGTTTAGCTGAGTCACAAGTTTAGCTGAGTGACAAGTTTAGCTGAGTCACAAGTCTAGCTGAGCCACAAGTTTAGCTGAGTCACAAGTTGAGATTTCTCAAAGTGAATCCACAATCTGAAAGACACTTCGTCTTGACGGTATAATTGCCAATGCCAACCAACATGCACTGGATCGTAAATTATTCCTCCCCACGGCGCCTAACGGGTTACATGGCTTATAATGATGATGATGCTCTAGTCTATGCTCTTCTATTCATTCCCTCCTGTTGCAGTCAATCACGCCCATCACCTGCATCTAAGCAACAACTGATACAGTTACCTAGATATCTCTAGGGTTTCTATAAAGAGTCGGCAAAGGCTAACTTCCCTCGGCCCAAAATGCTTGTGAAATGAACGGACAAAGTTTGCCGACGCCCCGAGGCAGCTCAGATTAGAATACAGACCCATTGCGGTTTTGTTGGAGATTATACAAAGACTTTATCAGATGGCATTCTCGCGGTGGGCTTGGTCTCTGTTGCCGTCTCGCGGCGGCCTTACAATGGAGTTTATTTCCTCGCCACTTGAAGTGTTCCTTCGTCACAGACAGCGCCCAGGGGGCATCATTTCTAAGAGAACAAATTAATTGGTTGAGTTTCGGAACTTGTCTCCTTTGAAACGTTTAGCGACCTCGAAATCGCGAAATATCTACATCACATCACACAAATAGTTGACGTAGCATTGACTGGACCGTACCACACGAGTAATTGACTACACCGTACCACACGAGTACTTGACTACACCATACCACACAAGTACTTGATTAGACCACACCACACAAATACTTGATTAGACCACACCACACAAGTACTTGAGTAGACAACCCCACACAAGTAATTGATTAGACCACACCACACAAATACTTGATTAGACCACACCCCACAAGTACTTGAGTAGACCACACCATACAAGTACTTGATTAGACCACACCACACAAGTACTTGATTAGATCACACCACACAAGTACTTGATTAGACCACACCACACAAGTACTTTACTAGAACACACCACACAAGTACTTGATTAGACCACACCATACAAGTACTTGAGTAGACCACACCACACAAGTACTTGAGTAGACAACACCATACAAGTACTTGATTAGACCACACCACACAAGTACTTGATTAGACCACACCACACAAGTACTTGATTAGACCACACCACACAAGTACTTGATTAGACCACACCACACAAGTAATTGATTAGATCACACCACACAAGTACTTTATTAGACCACACCACACAAGTACTTTACTAGAACACACCACACAAGTACTTGAGTACACCACACTACACAAGTACTTGATTAGACCACACCACACAAGTACTTGATTAGACCACACCACACAAGTACTTGATTAAACCACACAACACATGTACATGATTAGACTACACCACACAAGTACTTGATTAGACCACACCACACAAGTACTTGATTAGACCACACCACACAAGTACTTTACTAGAACACATCACACAAGTACTTGAGTACACCACACTACACAAGTACTTGATTAGACCACACCACACAAGTACTTGACGACTAGACCACACCACAAATGTACATGATTAGACTACACCACACAAGTACTTGATTGAATCACACCACACAAGTACTTGATTAAACCACACAACACATGTACATGATTAGACTACACCACACAAGTACTTGATTGAATCACACCACACAAGTACTTGATTAGATCACACCACACAAGTACTTGTTTAGACCACACCACATACATAAATACAGTCGCACACGAGTAATTGATTAGACCATAACCATACAAGTACTTGACAGAGCGATGACTAGACCATAATATCACAAGTACATGGCGTAGCACTGACTAGACCATAATATCACAAGTACATGACGTAGCATTGACTAGACCCTATCACACCAGTACGTGTGTGTGTGTCTGTGTGTGTCTGCTTGTGTGTGTCTGTGTGTATCTGCTTGTGTGTGTCTGGATGTAAGTCTCTCTGTGTGTGTGTTCGTGCGCGCGCGAGTGTGTGTGACACTGTGCGTATATCTGGGTGTGCCTGCGTGTCGAATTTGTGACCTTTCGAGAATAAAGTTCATCCGTTCGTTCGTTCGTTAGTCTGTTCTTACTTGATGTCGCATTGACCAGACTACATACACCTCACTAGTACTTGACTTAGCATTGTCTTGTCCACATCTTACCACGTCTGTGGTCCAGCATAGTTCCTCACACCACGTCTGTGGTCCAGCATGGTTCCTCACACCACGTTTGTGGTCCAGCATATTTCCTCACACCACGTCTGTGGTCCAGACAATTCGTCAAACACTCACATCTGTGGCCCAGCATAGTTCCTCACACCATGTCAGTGGTCCAGCATGGCTTTTCACACGACGTCTGTGGTCCAGCATAGTTCCTCACACCATGTCTGTGGTTCAAACATCTCATCACACTCACATCTGTCGTCAAGCTTAGTTCCACACTCCATGTCTGTGGTTCAGCATGATTCCTCACACCACGTCTGTGGTCCAGCATGGTTCCTCACACCACGTCTGTGGTCCAGCATGGTTCCTCCCACCACGTTTGTGGTCCAGCATGGTTCCTCACACCACGTCTGTGGTCCAGCATGGTTCCTTCCACCACGTTTGTGGTCCAGCATGGTTCCTCACACCATGTCTGTGGTCCAGCATGGTTCCTCACACCATGTCTGTGGTCCAGCATGGTTCCTCACACCATGCTTGTGGTCCAGCATGGTTCCTCACACCATGTCTGTGGTCCAGCATGGTTCCTCACACCATGTCTGTGGTCCAGCATGGTTCCTCACACCATGTCTGTGGTCCAGCATGGTTCCTCACCACGTCTGTGGTCCAGCATGGTTCCTCACACGACGTCTGTGGTCCAGCATGGTTTCTCATACCACGTCTGTGGTCCAGCAAGGTTCCTCACACCATGTCTTTTCGTTACACCCTCATGAGGGGTCCAGCCCTCTTCGTCTAACCCACATATGTGGTCCAGGTTAGTTCGTCAAATTCACATGTGTGGTCCTTGCTAGTTCGTCAAATCCACATGTGTGGTCCAAGCTAGTTCGTCAAATCCACATATGTGGCCCAAGCTAGTTCGTCAAATCCACATTAGTGCTCCAGCGTGGTTCGACACATTCACATCAGTGGCCCAGCGTGGTTCGTCACTTCCACTTCGGGGTTCAAGCATGTTTTGTCACATCCAGATATATGATCAATAATATTTTGTCACACTCACATCTGTGGTACAGTTTAGGTTGTCACACTCACATCTGTGGTCCAGTTCGGTTTGTCACACTCACATCTGTGGTCCAGTTCGGTTTGTTACACTCACATCTGTGGTCAAGTTCGGTTTGTCACACTCACATCTGTGGTCCAGTTCGGTTTGTCACATTTACATCTATCGTCCAGTTCGGTTTGTCACACTCGCATCTGTGGTCCAGTTTGGTTTGTGACACTCACATCTGTGGTCCAGTTTGGTTTGTCACACTCACATATGTGTTGTAGTTTGGTTTGTCACACTCACATCTGTGGTCCAGTTAGGTTTGTCACACTCACATCTGTGGTCCAGTTTGGTTTGTCACACTCACACCTATAGTACAGTTTGGTTTGTCACACTCACATATGTGGTACAGTTTGGTTTGTCACACTCACATCTGTGGTACAGTTCGGTTTGTCACACTTACATCTGTGGTACAGTTCGGTTTGTCACACTTACATCTGTGGTACAGTTCGGTTTTTCACACTCACATCTGTGGTACAGTTCTGTTCGTCACACTCACATCTGTGGTCCAGTTCGGTTTGTCACACTCACATATGTGGTACAGTTTGGTTTGTCACACTCACATCTGTGGTCCAGTTCGGTTTGTCACACTCACATATGTGGTACAGTTTGGTTTGTCACACTCACATCTGTGGTACAGTTTGGTTTGTCACACTCACATCTGTGGTCCAGTTTGGTTTGTCACACTCACATCTGTGGTCCAGTTTGGTTTGTCACACTCACATCTGTGGTCCAGTCTGGCTCATCACTAAACTGAGGTTTTCAGTTTGAACAATAGATCGACATCATAGTTCCCCATAAGTGCTCCGTTATTCTTGTAAGTCAAGTCTGAGTTTGAAAAAGCTCAGCACAGAGCACATGCTCTGTAGCACCGATGAGGATCCTGATACACTTTGGGTTGATTTTTAACTCAAAATGTTGCCCTGGCAGCGCCGTTAGTAGTGTATGAATCAACTTAGGGCCGCATTTGGTGGTTGCAGCTTAGCAGCCTCCCTCTTTATCCTTAGTAAAAGATGGCGGCCATCGGCCTGCACAAGTGATTGGTTTTTCCGAGAGTCTGTAAGCCTCCCTCTTTATCCTTAGAAAATATCGATCGGGCAGCCTCTCTCTTTATCCTTAGTAAATATCGATTGGGCAGCCTCCCTCTTTATCCTTAGTAAATATCAATCGGGAGGCTGATGACAGCACGCTTGACTGGTTTTCAGGGCGGGTAAAAACATATGGTGCATAAATCGATACTTTGCATTGTTTCCATAGCAACTGGTGACTCATTGTCGGTATGTCAGAGTGTGGGTATTTTTAGGCAGTGTGATTCGAGGAAGGCAAATCGATATTTCTTTAACGTATTATGGCTCGGGCTGACAAAGCGACACTTTGCAGGCGAATTATTATCTTCAAAGCCGTGGACGACAGATGGCGTTTGACACGTCTGTCGATGTGGTTATATAAATGGCGGCGTCAAGAAAAATATTTAGGTGAGCAGCGGGGCGGGCGGGGCAGGGGACCCGGGGCGACAGGGTGACTAATAGAGTTGGTGCGGGCTTATGCGTTCTGTAATAGACAAAATTAGGAGTATTTTGTTAGTGGGGGATATATATCTTACAACAATTTAAGGTATATGAAAATAGACTTGAAAGCGGCACTGACAGGCGGCAGAGGGGAGCCGTTTTAGGTTTTAGATAAAGAAACCTAGGAAGGCGGCATAATGACCGGAGATATATGATAAAGTGCGACTCGAGCGCCATCATCATCATCTGTGTCATGGGAACGAAGGTCGACCGCTCAGAGATGGTTTGAAGGGGCATAATGGGCAGCCTATCTGACTTTATAAACAAGGTTCTGATTGGTCATTAGGATTCAGTGGTCATTCTGCTGGAGCAAGCCGGTTAGGAAAATACGTCAGTCGGTTTGACAATTGCTCAACGGAGTACGCCCGTACGCACGCATGCACACCCGCGGTTTCGTTTTAGGGAATAGATAAAGAAATCTAGGAAGGTGGCTCAATGGTAGGGAGAAATTGTGGCTCGGGTTCCATCATCATCATCCACGTCGTCTTCTTCAAAAGCTGTCGTTAAGGCGGGCGGAGCAGGGGATCCGGGACGACAGGGCGACTAATAGGGTTGGTGCTGGTTTATGGGTTTTGTAATAGAAAAATTAGGGGTGGTTTGTTAGCGGGGGATATATATATTACAAAACGAAACAATTTAGGGAATATAGAAATAGACTTGTAGGCGGGTTCCATCATCATTAGACTTTTAGAAACCAGAAGGCGACTTTAAGAACCCAGAGGGCGACAGTTTAGAAACCAGAGGGCGACTTTAAGAAACCAGAGGGCGACTTTTTAGAAACACGAGGGCGACGTGTAGAAAATACGAGACACAAGAGGGCAACTTTTACGAAACATAAGATGACTTTCACGAAACACGAGGCGAATTTTTATAAAACATAAGGCGACTTTTAAGAAACACACGTGTCGCACGAGTGACCTAAGGTGTCCCGTCAAGAAAAACATCGAGTGATTGTTGGGTTCCAAGTACAGTGCACTACTTACTTAGAACCGTCGGCGACTGACTTGACAATACCAGTAAAACACCGGTTCTGTCTCTTGAGTGACTTGAGGTGTCCCGTAGAGAAAACCGTCGAGTGACTTGCTGTGTCAGAAGGACAGTTAGCTACTTAATAAGAACCTAAAATGACGACTTGTCAAGACCAGTGAAAGACATGCTCTGTCTCTTGAGTGACTTAAGGTGTCCTGTGAAGAAAAACATCGGGTGACTTGCTGCGCCCCAAGGATAGTGATCGTGTTACCCGGCGTCTTCAGTTATCACCTTGTCAAGACCAGGGAAGGACATGCAACGTCTCGTGACTTTAAGCTGTCCGTCGAGAAAAGTATACCGCCCTTTTGGCACCTTAAATTGCCCCAGCTCCCCTTTGTAGCCTGGTAGCGCCGTCTCTGACTTACAACTTAAACCCTCCATGAGCGGTGATTTCTAACAATATGACACAACAGTTCTCCTTTTTTACTACAGCTCAACCATATCTGTATGGCCAGAACCCGACACTTTGACACACCTGTCGTCCTTTTGCTATTTTCACCCCTACAATTTAAACTACCAATGAGCGGCCGGCCTCCAATAATATGTTACAAAAGTCGCCTTTTTGTTAACGCTTTCGTTTTTACTACAACTAAACCCTCCCTAACCTATCAATATCTTACATTATGATAAGCCACCCGCCACCCGTCGCATGTTTTCCTTTTTACTACAGCTTAAACCCTTTAGCGCGGCCGGCATTCCTTACTATTGACATAAAAGTTGCCATTTTGCCATAAATTCCCATTTTTACTTAAACTCAAACCCTAAATGAGCGACCGGCATTCGCTGCTATGACACAAGGGTCCCCGTTTTGTCATAAATCTTCTGCTCCGCCAGCCTTAACGACAGCTTTTGAAGAAGACGACGCAGATGATGATGATTGAACCCGAGACACACTTTCTCCCTACCATTGAGCCACCTTCCTAGATTTCTTTATCTATTCCCTAAAACGAAACCGCGGGTGTGCATGCGTGCGTACGGGAGTACACCGTTGAGCAATTGTCAAACCGACTGACGTATTTTCCTAACCGGCTTGCTCCAGCAGAATGACCACTGAATCCTAATGACCAATCAGAACCTTGTTTATAAAGTCAGATAGGCTGCCCATTATGCCCCTTCAAACCAACTCTGGGGGGTCGACCTTCATTCCCATGACACAGATGATGATGATGGCGCTCGAGTCGCACTTTATCATATATCCCCGGTCATCAAGCCGCCTTCCTATGATGATATGTATATTACAAATATTATAAAAGAACACAAAAGCATGAGTTGTAACGTGCATGCAAAAATCCGAGCGTGCATACACACACCGATATACATACATACACCCACATACACACGCTCACCCACTCACTTACACACACATACATACATGCATGCATACATTACATACATACAGGCATACATACATACACATATACATACAAACATACATACAGGCATACACATATACATACAGACATACATACACACACATAGATATACACACGCAAACACATATATACAGCGCGCACAGACATATATTCTGACATGCAGACACATACACCCAACAAAGGGGCACACACAATACACACAGAGAAACACACATAGACATACACACACAGACAGACACATGCTGACAAATACACTCACGCAGACATACATACAGACACCCACACATAGAGATACATACATACAGCCTCATAGACACACCCGCAGACAAACACACATGAACATACATAGGCAAACATGCAGATAAACACATACGGACACACACACAGACAAACACGAAGATATACACATAGTCACATCAAATATGCAGAAAAACACCGAGACACACATATATGCAGACAAACACAGAGACACACACACAGACACATATACACAGCCACTGGTGTCCAATTGCACACACACACACACCCAGACACACATACACAACAAAGAGGCACACTTAAACACACAGAAACACACAGAGACCAATTCATACTGAAACATAAACGTGGCCATACGCGCGAACACACACACATTCGCACACATACACAAGGACACAGACGCATACATTCGCACACACACACACACAGATACACAAGCAGACAAACAACATACTCAGAATCGTATGTATACAAGCACGCCTACACATACATACATATCACACACACGCGCGCACAAACATACATATCATACACACCTTGTTTAATAATTACTTGATAATGCAGTATGGGTTACATTACATTCAAGGTGGCATATAATCGCTTGTAAGTATGAATTGAAAAAGTTTACGATTAAATGAATAGAGATTTTTATAATTTCTCAGGTCTAGTGGAAGGTGGTTCCACAAATGAGCAGCGGAGTACGCTAAACTTGTTTTATATAAATCTATTCTAGGTTTAGGCAAATGTAATAAATTTAGTCCCTTGCTATTTATAGAATTTGATTTAATTAATCGGAAAAGGTAGTTTGGCGTATTTTGAGATAAAATTTTATGAATAAATTTGGCCTTGTTAAAAATTAAACGTTTGCTAAATGGCAGTAGTCTTAGATGGTTATAGAAATTATTTTTTTCGATATGTTTACTATC